GCAAAGCGCGCGTAGATAACGATACCTTCTCGAAAAATTCGGTAATTGGCAAATATGGCATCAAGGTCTGGTGCTTCAATGGAGAATGCATTTTCGTTTTGATAACGAAGATGAACTTTTTTTTAAAAAACATTGCAAAACAACAAGAAGGAATGCGACCAAAGGCCAGAGTGTATTTATTTGGTCGGTTTTGTTTTTTTTTGTTAGTGTTCGGATTGGATACGATTTTTATCGGTCAATTTATTCTCTCAGTCGGTTTCTACAATAACTTCATATTTAATCGGAATCGTACCTTTCTACATTTGTAATCATTCATTTAAATCGCAATTCTGTATTTCAATTCGTTATATAATTGATATTATTTTGCACATCGTTCTATTATATCCCCTGCTTGGTTGGTTATCAATAAATAAATAAATAAATAAATAAATATTGGTATATGGAAGTAATAAAATCTACAATTAGCTGTTTTTCAACGCAAATTCGTGAACTTGTCGATGAGTCACTTTTTTCAGAAATTTTAGTTTCTTCTTTCTGAATTAACAAAACTTTTCACGAAAAATTCTTCAAATAGTAGGTTATCCATTGTATCACAACTTCAGCAAATGCTTTCTGCTATCGAAGAAAAAAATAATATCAAATGACTAGAGCAAAGCAATTCTGCTTTCAATTCCTAAGAAAGATATATATATATATATAGGATGTATAGGATATATTATGAAAATTATCGAATTTCGAAATCAGCCTACTAGACATCTCCAGGAAAATTTTTTCTTCCCTTTTTTTGACTGAACTTGACAACAGAATACGCCCTAATTAAGCTGGATTCAGACCGGGACCCAATTGTGCTGACCAAATATTTATACTAAAAAGAGTCACATAACATCGCTTCAATGACACATCGTTACATGTTTTATCGGTTTTTTTACTGCCTTCGATTCAATTGATAGAGCAGCACTTTGGAGGGTGATCAAATGTGACGGACTTCCAGAGGAGATCATTCGTCTCATACAGGCATTTTATCAGCGTGTATTGGCATGTGGAGAACTGACAAATCCTTTCGAAATAAAAACTTTCCGTTTGGTTTCCGTTGTGTCATTTCCCCTACAATATTCAGCTATGTAATAGACTGGATAATCGCTTGAGAGCATAGTATCACAGATCTTGAATACGCTGATGTTGTAGTCTTTTTTGCTGATTGTTGCGATGAAATGCGAATAATGCTAAACAATAAATCGTCAACTGCAGGGCTCAGGATCAATGTAATAAAACGAAAGACTTTCCATCTTATATACCAGAAGTTTATAAAATACCTATTTTTGCTAAACCTTATAATGGATGGTGCCAAAAGCGAGATGGACCAATCAATACTTGGACTAATACGATCAGGAAAAATATTTTTAAATATATTGGAGAGCAACCATAAATGAACTTAGATGATGGAAGAAGGAATGATTTCTATTATTGTCGTCGATTGCATCGAATCGAAGTTTGAAAAATCTTACTGTTATAGCTAGTGGAGCCAGCCTATCCAATAATACAGCTGTTAAGCGAAGAAGAAGAAATATTTCACCACAATAAATTTTTTTCTATCCAATTATATTCGCGACTTTATACAAATAGAATCTGTTAAAACAGTATGCATTCGTAAATTGCAATCGTAAAATACGAATAAGTGATGAACGATACAATTTCCGAAAATCTTCGTTGAACTGAAATAAGTGGATATTCCATATGGATTGATAATATTCTGGCAAAGTGTATTTATTAGAAACTTGAGATTTGTTAAGATTTGTTAAGATTTGTTCAGGATAAATTTTCAAATCTGCTAGCTTTCTAAATGAAAACTGAATGCATCTTTTTAAAGAACTGAGGAGCGTCGCTTTTCATAGAAAATAAATTGATTACAAAAATTTCTAAATCCATTTATATTTTGTTGATTATAAATATAAAATAAGTAAAATATGATGTTAGAGGTTTCGTCACACATAATGTAATAATGAAATACTTTGATCACCTAAAACGAGCAATCAATGACAAATCAGTTCTGATATTGTCCTCGAGTTGTAATATTCGAGTTGATTTGCTTTTATTCGCTCTTTTTCTACTTTTGGTTGTTAATTTGATTAAGGGTAAAGTGTGAAAGTGTGAATGTGTTGATCCTCGAGTACATTCTTCCGACAAAATTTTGAGAGCCTCAATAAAGAGGGGTTTCAGTCAAAATCTTGTCTCGTTGTCCTTCACACGGTTCACATTCAAATCATTAAATCTCTTCCAATTTTTGCCTTTTCTCGAGCTAATTTAGAAAAAGCAGTTACTGTGTAGTTATTTGTTTCAGCATCGACGATGTTTATTTGTTTAGTGATCAACTAGAATCAAGCAGATAACCAACAACAGTCAGTCCCCATTTCATTATTTTTGCCTTCGAGCATTCCTTTCTTTTTTCCTGTCTCCTATTTTTATCTTTTTTGTACTCTATTTACCGCTTGTTATCATATCATGAATGCACATTGCGTAAATCTTTATCTGCTTTGGCATGCACATATATACCGTTTATATTGGCTTGTACATACATATTTTACTGTTTACATTTATAAACAGGGCAAAAAACCAATAATTTTTTTTGGAAAAACCAAAAAACCAACAATAATTTTGAGTGCTGTTAATCGAGAAGTTTCACTAATGCGTAGTGACATTGTCGGAAAATTTTATATTTTTTGGAAGGGTTCTGCATTTAGTAAATTGCATAGAAAGATAAAGGAATAAGTTTGATTACACCCTTAATATCAATATTATTAATAAGCAAAAACATTACGTAAAACAAAATTATGAATAAAGTTTTAAAGTAAATGGAGAAGGAAAAGCTGATGAATATGGAGAAATTTGAATAAATAAGTAAATTGAATAAGTAAGCTTTTTGGAAGTTTTCTGGAAATCCAAGTTTAAGATAAAAGGTTTGGATTTTTCATATATCAACTGTATAATCTGTGATTTTTAAAATCAATTTTAACGTCGATTGAAAAAAACAAAAGGATAAATGAATAAATGAATGAATTTTTATAAAATTGACTTTGTCAACTGCTACCCAATGCTAGCTAATTTATCATATCGAAATTTTCTTCGTCTTCGCCATCATCTATTTTATTTCATTTTTTGCTCGCAATTCATTTCCAAACTGTCTCTCATGGGCTATCAAGCGACACTTTTCTTTTTGTAATCAGTAGAAATCAGTTCTTTTTCTAGAATCTATGCGCATTATTATTTTTGTCATTGTTTACACGCAAGGTTTACAGCAATTTTTAGCTATTTACCAAATATTCTACAAAAAGACCGTAATTGATAATCATTTACCTATTTTATAACAGAAGAATAGAATGAAAATGAGGTAATTAATTCTTTTAAAAATTTTTTGTATATTTTGATTTGTGTGCATAATGGAAAGGATAAATGACATGCCACTTCAGCAAAGACCGACCCATCGATTGGTGTATTTAACGAGAGTTCACTTGTCATTATATGACGGGAGCAACGAGTAGAACGATATGTGAACGAACTGGCCTTTCTACATCTTTTACACCTTTATTGAAAAATTTGAGAATTAGAATCAGTTGTCATTCTTATTTATTCTATTCTAATGCATTTATCAATTTCATCTTTATCAATTTTATCTTCAATCATTTTTCTGGATGATTATTAGAATTTTTAACAGAATTTTTTAGCGGAAAATCGTATCAAATAAAATTAGCAATATACAAAATAGAATTATAAATAGAACTTTTCGAAAAATTCGACGTTTCGACAAATTTTTTTCAAAAAAATGATTTTAAAAAATGAATTTGACATGAAATTGCAGATTACTTTGGTGTCGTTAACTTTTGGCAAAGACAAAAATTTTTCCGCGAGGAATGGCTCGTTTCTTAAATGATTTGTCGAGGCAACCAACTTTGAGAGAGGCATTTTTTTTTCCTTCTTTTAATGGCATTCACACAATCCCATTTCTGATTTGGCTGGCCTTTCAGACTTTAGGATCTTTTGCTGCAGAATCATTTGGATAGAATGGTAAAGACATTTTTAGCAACATCCGTATTTCATTTCCAATTTATTTCCATCAAAGCAGGGATAATAGAGCCTGGCTGTGGCTTTTCTAAGATAATCAACGTACTATTCTAAATAAAATTAAATACAAAGTTCTGAAATACAAATTCCTGCAAGGGGAGTTAAACAATCGACTGCTATTTCTGGCAATTAAATTGCAATTAATGTGGTGCTTTATAACACAAATAAAAGATAAAATTCAATATTATCACCTTTTATGTTTGTAATTCATAGAATTTTTTTTTAATATTAGCATCATTTTTATCTAAAGATCATTTACATTTATATTAAATGCTTTAGACCCATTAATTTCACCAGAGGATCGCATGGTAATAAAAGCACAAGCACAAGCACTTTTCTGTTTACGTATTTTGCCTCTCGGCCTTATCTCTCGATCTTCTCCTAACAGCTCTCCTTTTACTAATTAGGCTGGCTCTGTTGGCTGGGCAAGGGTAAAACATCTCTAAGCTGCTCGGTCCGGCGCTATCGTCAGTAGTAATAGAAGCCATTCCTTTTTCCATCTTCTAAGTCCATATATGTGGTCCTTCTATAAGTTCAAAATCTTTCTTGATTATATCAGTTCAGGATCTTGATTAATCCACCTCTTTCTTTTGACGCCATCCATCACAGAGTTTAGCTTGTAACGAAATATATGTCAATTGGCGACGAAAAAAATCAAAATCTTGTAAATCTTGTGGTCTTATAAATTAAAATTTTTTAGTAATTAATAATTACAATTATAATAAATTAATAATTATAATTATAATTTTCTATATAATTAGTAATTTATTTGTTATAACTTTCTTTCTTTCAATAATTATTGCAATAATTATAATTGTTATTAATTATAATTGTCAAAAAAAATTTTTAAAATTAATTACGGTTTTAGATATTGATCAGTTCGTTGATGGTTCTGCTGGTGGCTTCTTCTTGGGCATTAAGTACGCAGTTCAGTAAAACAACATTAAACATCAATCCGAAGCATTTTTATGCTCCTTATTTTCTTGTCTGGTTCAATACCAATTTCATGATTTTATGCTATATAGTATATATTATTTTCAATATGATAAGGAAGAGCTCACGTGAGTGCATCAGGAAACTACATGAGTAAGTTTTATAAAGAATGTTTGAAAGCAACAGTGAGACATTGACCATTAAACAGATTTAAATCAAATCAAATCCTGTGTGATTTTAAAAGTTCTTTCACATTACGCTAAATAAACACTTCAAAAGTCCATGAAAAATCTAATTTTAGCTCTGTAAAATTAAAGGGAAGCAATGTTGATCTATGGTGAAAGAGGAATGCGAATAAAGACTTTCTTGAAACGTACTTCGATTTTTCTTTTTTTCTGGATTGCTGCTAATTACTCATATTCTCAATCGCTTGGTCATATATCTGCAAGTGCAACCTCTTGTATAGTGAGTTGCAATGTTGCTCTCGTATGCATACTTGGTTGGATCATACTTAAAGATCGTTTCATACCATTTCGAGTAAGCCATTTTCGAGTTTTTCGATTTGTTTAGAACCAAGTAAGCAAGGTTAAAAATACCATCTGCTTATATTTAACAACACTAAACAAAAATTGGACATAAAATAAGCCAGTAAGCAAATTATAAATTACTAGTAAACTGGTAAATAAAACACTAGACATGCTAAACGCGAACGTAATGAGCTCTTGTTGTCTGCACCCACATTTTTCTCCTTTTTATCCAAATTCGACATAAATTCGTTATAAAAAATTGTAGTACTTTAAAATATGGAAATTAGGTTTGGTAATTCCAGAGTACCAAAGATCTTTTTTCTATAAAATTTTTGCTTTTGTTTCACAATTTATAGAAAATATTGCAGCTAATATCCATAGCGGCATGTATTGGTGGCGTTGTCCTAATGGCTATGGATAAACATTTCGTCGGTAACACTTTGGGAGTGATCCTCTCTTTGAATGCGGCTGTTATGGCTGCTTGCTATAAGGTCAAATCTAAGTCAAATTCAATTTCTGTCCTCAGTTCATATAAAAATTAAAATTTACGTTCCGCTATTGGTAAAAGCAACATTTATACTTTAATTATGAGATAAAAGGAATAAATATATCTTTGAAATTATATCTTCGACTAAGGATGTGTAGCATGGGTTCAATATTTATGCTAGGACCGAACTTGTAAGTTAAATCCGTGTGCAGCGAAGCCATCTCTATTTTCATCCCCAAATGATTGGTTCTTTAGCAAAAATATCTTTTCCTAGTAATCGGTGTGATCAGCCAAGCCAGAAATGGAAGTAATATAATTTGAATCTTAAATAAAGAATCCATTCATTATTAGAATCTAATAAACAAGATATTATTGCTCTTACGGTTATATAATCATATTACAGGTATTTTTTAAAAAAATAATTGGAAACGCCACAATTGGTCAAGTTGCCATATTCATGTCTGGATTAGGCTTATTAAATCTTAGCCTTAGTTCCGCAATTACAGTTCTGCTCATCGCCTTTAAATTGGAACTATTTGTGCCGTCCATGTTGCCTTGGCTTTCTCTAATCACTACGGCAATGCTCTCACTTGGTACTATTCGATTTTTAAAATTGTTTAGAAAATTTCGAGATAGAATTTAAAACTTTTAAAATTCTTTGGAATTCAAAAAAATTATTGAAACAGGCAAATAAATTAAAACGATTTTTAAATGAAATCTATTTTTTAAGTGCGTAAATCTTAGTTTTTAAAAGTATACGATTTTCCGGTTTTTTCCGGTTTTTCAGTCAGTGGTACTTCAAAAGTCATTTTAATTACAGTTTTCAACTTTACGGTCAATTTTGGAATTGCTCTTACACATCCTCTGATTATTTCTATTGGCATGCTTCTCGGCCTACCTCTAAGCACAGGTATGTTTTATTATTTTTCCTCTAAATGCATGGAAATTATTTTTCTTTCAAAAATTTGTCATTCAATAAATAGGCAATCAATGTTCGAAATCTTCGAAAATGGACAAAAATTGTTAAAAAAATTGAAATGACATGTACAAAATGCAAAGTGAATAAATTGCTAATCCTTAATTTCTGGTTAGCGTCACTATGGCAAATTCGCCGGAAAACTAGGGTCATCTTGCCTGAGGCATCCAAACCTCAATGCTCGATATAAAAAAAATCAGCTACTAGCTGACGTGAAATATTAGAAAATTTCTCTTTCGTTCATTAACTGGAACGTTCCTGCCAAAAAAATTCTGACAAATTTTCAAGACAGCTAATTTTTTTTCCACGAAATTCTTGCCTTATTCAGCAATTGATATATTATTCCGTCATTTGACCGCAAATATATATTTCATCACGGGAGGATTATTGATTCTGCTCGCATGCATCATCATAATTATTCCTGAAGATATTATCGAACATTTCTATTCGTGCAAAGTCAGTCGACCAATCCATGGAAATCAAGGAAGTGATAAGGAAAGAGGAACACGGTATGAGAATTTTGATAAACCCTCAGATTTGCCAATTTAAGCATTTTATAGCCGTATAAATTAAATTTCAATTCCAGTTTGAACAAAAATAATTTGAAAATGAATTCGGATGAAATTTTGTTAAACTTTAAAATTTAATTTAATGTACCATTCATTTTCCAGTTTTCATCGCCAATCAATAATCTTTTAAGGGAAAAAATTCCTGATCAATGATTGAAAAACAACTTTGAAAAAAATTTGCGCATCCTCTCATAAAAATTGTAAGGATAAAGGATAACTAAAAATTACCAATAATAAAGCCAAAGTAAGCTGAAACTGCAACAAAAATTGATTATCACTTTTTGATTTCGATAAATTTGAAGATAAATAAATTTTCGGAAAATACAGATTTTGCAACAAATTAAAGCATTTTCTCAACGCTGTGCGTCACTCAACATAGACATCACTGACTTTTCACTCTCAAAAAAATGCAACATCTATGATATAAAATTCTTATATAATAAGAAATTCCAAAAAAAATAACAATCGAAAGGATGAAAGCGCGAATAAAAACACAAATATCGGAAAATTAGATAATAATATAGAATACAAGCAATTAAATTCTTTCTGAAGAGATAAGAAAATTATCCAAAAGCATCGCATGACAATCGAATCTGGCCATCGGACACTTCGATAGAAAGCGTCGCATCTATTTCGCCTATTTCATAAAGGAACCAAGCCCCGAGGAATGGTTGCCTCAATGACCTGAGATAACGATAGTTTGCCCTTCAGTGCCTTCAAAGACTGCCTTGTAAGGTAGATGGAATTCTTTGAGGGTAAATCGCGAACTGTCCATTATCGCTGATAAAGCTAAAACGCTCGCCAAGCCATATGCTTACAAGTACGAGCCCTCAACAAAATGGGATAATCTCCATCATTCAGAAGCTTAAAGTTAATAAAATCCCCCTAAAAGACAGCCTTGAAGCTCTTTAAATATTACTGTTATTCAACATCCTTTTCAGTTCACATTCAATATATTCTCAAATTTGGGAAAAAGAATAAATACCAGATGATCGAAGCAAGGCAACCCTGACCCTGACCCTAATCCCAGGCAGATATACTGTGGTGTACTGTAATATGCAACTAGGAAGAATAAGCCTACTGGATATCTTTAGGAAAAATTCCCTTTTGCTCAATAAACTTATGGTGGCACGCAACTAAATAGGATGGGAATACGGGCGTATGACCACATATTCTCGTTGAAGAGCGTTGAAACTTCGCTTTAAATACTGATAATACATCGTCATGCTTTATTGATTTTGACGCTATCTCCATTCAACTGATGTTGTTATGAAGTGGTGGAATACCAACATACATCGACATAGAACTGATAGATCCTTTCAAAATAAAAAACAGTATCATCCACCTAGCTCTTTCTCTTATAGCATTGAACTATACGATGATTTGAATTATGGACAGCATCTGCCATCACTCAAGATGTACAAGTTAGTAGAGATGTGTAATCAAAGCACGGTATTATCATATATCTTGAATATTATATTATTAAGATTCGATATAAATAAAACGAAAGCCTTTTCAACCAGATACCAGATATACCAGATATACCAGATACCAGATATATACCAGATGATAAAATATTTTTATCAATTTCGTCAAAAAACTGAGGAAGTATTGGACTTTTAATATCATGAATGTACTTGTATCAAACGGTTAATTAAAAAAAAACCGCAGCCCAGGTAAATCGAAAATAATTCTCCCACATGGTGAAATCTCCATGGAAACGCAGCGAAACCACCATCAGTAGAAAAATTCGCATCTATGTTACTTTCAGGTAGAGCATCGAATCAAGTGGCTTGGAAATATTATTATAGCCAACCAGCCTAACCAGTTATGGTGCGAGTTACTAGAAGAAAAAAAACTCAATCCAAAAGAAAACAATCGAAACGAAAAATAAGCAAATTTTTAATTAGAAGACCAATTAATCTAAGAAGAAAACTCTAAGCAAAATTGAAAAAATTGAAAATTGAATCAAAGAAATAGACTTAATGATTTTCATTTTAACAGATCAGCGAATGGGTCATTTCCATTAGCAATCTTCTTAAAAATGAAATCTACTTTAGTCTTATTTGCAAAATTACTTTGACCCGATTCCTTCTTTTCGCATGATTTTTGAAAGGAAAGCAAGTCATCGAATACAGATAGATCATTCTTTTTCATATTCATTGAAATTTTCGAATGACTGTGTGATACATTATTCCTGCGTATGGGATTATCTGATGGTGGAGGCCCAGGAAAATCGGAAGAAATTGAACAAGAATTTGGAATCATAATACCATGGTCAGTGTATGCAGCTGAAAATTGTGGTACCGCTGGGAAGGTAAACATCATAGTATCACTTGAAGATTTACTGGTTACCTTAAATTAAAATTTATATGGATATATGGCTAAAAAATAAAAGTACGAAAAAAAATTTCAAAAAGATAAGTTCTTTTATCAATAATTATGAAAATATTAATTATGCACACCTCAGCTACTGAAGATGGTAAAAATTCCGAGAGATCAATGGAATTATAGTTTGTTACAGTGGTTGAAGAAGAAGGTTCAAGTACAAAGGCATTGAAAACATTAACCGCAGAGTCAAGAGGCGATGAAATTTTCACGGAATTTTGGTTGATTTGTGAGGAAAAAGCGATATTCGACGAAGAAATATTATTAATCTGAGCGCTAATAATGTCCGGCTGTTTTCGCAAAAGCAAATTTTGCTCTTGCTCTGCAGCCAAGCGTTTTTTGGCATCCAAGGTCAACGGTTCCTGAAAATTCAAGTTTAAGAAATTGAGAAGAATAAATTTAAGCAAATTTCTATTTAATCTATTTCACAAATTATAACAAGACCTTATCGAATTTCGTGTAACTTGACGCATTTTTCGCTGCAGGTTTTGAAAAGCTTTCCAGCATACTCAAACAATCCAACTGTTTGGCTGATGGCTGCAAATTAGATTGAATATAGACTAGATTAAAAAAACAACCCAGATTAATAAAAATATCAGTACTATAAGAAATGCTAACCAATAGCTTTGCCTCAGCTTGACCAAATATTTCTTTAAAATCACTAATACTTCGTTGATCCTCTTGAGCAGCAGTCAACTGCTGTAATCGTTGGCGCTGTTCCTTCTCCACCTAAGTATGGTTAAATATAAAATTAAGCATATTCTGACAATATTCTGAAGCATGTTTCATTTTTTTCCGCACCAAAAATTTGAAATTATATCCAAGTTATTCCTAAACATTGGTTTCCGAAATAAAAAAAAAGATTTCATATTCACTAGAGATAATTCTACAAAAAGATAATAAAACAGTAAGTCTGTAAATTTTTGTACTTAATGTTATCAAAATTCTTGAAGAACTAACTCTGCCCAAGATTCTATGAATCAATGCCATATATTGCTCAAACTGTGTCAAATTTAAGGTGTTTTCTACTGATGTCGCCATTAAAAAAGGTAGAACGCTTTTCGCACACTGTTCTCGAGATATGCCATGGCGCGTATTTTCAAAAGCCAATTTATATATTCCTAATTAAATAAATAAAAATGAGTGAAATTAAAAAAATAAAAATATGGATTTCTATATAGCATAAATCAAAATTTTAAAATTTCAAATTTCAAATATTCAAATTTATAAATAAGCCGAGGCTAAAAAGAAAAATGCCCTGTTTTCCAAGGAACAGTCCAAGGCACACACTTAACTTCAATGCGGCAATATAGTAACAATAGAGCCACAACATCAGAAAATATGGAAGAATATATAGGAGAAATAGAAGATAACACCAACGTAAAATGGCCTGCAAGATCTGAGAACAAGTCACTCCCACAGTAAGACCAGCTACCATCATAGTTGCTGACATCCAACAGCGACTCAAAAATATGAAAATTTGGGCACCTGGTCCGGATATGATTCGCACCGATTGGCTAAAAAAGCTAACAGTAGTTCATGAGCACCTAACTATAAAGATGAGCTGCTTGTGGCTCTCAGATTGGTTAAAACAAGGAAGGATGGTACTGAAAGGAAAGACCTTCAAAACAAGCTTCATAACCACATAAACCAATGCATGAGCGCAATTCAAAAAGGAATTCGGAACAACATCAGAGGCTCCATATACCACTTGCTCATAGATAAGGTAGTGTTCTAGACTCAAAATCCTGATAGCAATTAGCTTGGATTGATTATAGGAAAACCTATAATTCAAAACGCCACATATGGACCTGTGAATGCCTGGCTATGTACAAAATCAACAAGACTCTAAAGAAGTTCATTGTTAATTGAGAATTCAATGGGACAAAATGACACTTGAAATCAACTCGAAATAGCTTGCACAAGAAGCTATCAAGTGTGGCATATACCAAGGCGATGTATCCCCTATTGTTCTCCATAGATCTAAACTCTCTCAGTCAGATAATCACTAGAAGCGGAAAACAAATACAAGAGGGGGAATTATATCATCTTTTATCATCAAGTTTAAAATGAGATATTGACTCGCTCATCCATCTAACTTGGATCTACAGCGAGGAAATTGAGATGTATTCGAACTGGGGACATGTAGATGTAGTTAAAAAAAGAGGAAAAATAATAACGAGGTGGACCTTTCACCGGGATATATAGGTTAGTTACAAATAACTTGGTACCCCACATATGACAATCAAGATGAGAAGAAAACGAAGACTGAAACATCTAAGTATCATCAAAGGATAAGGCAAATCTTGAACAGCCAGCTCTATGGAACAAAATCCATGCCATAAACATATATGCTCTACCAGTCAACAGATACGCAGCTGGCAATGTAAGATGTAAGATGGAAAAGGAATACATGGAGGTTGCTGATGTAAAGGCCATGAAACCTCACACAACGCACGGAAATTTCCATCTTAATTCCAATATCCAAAGCTTGTAAACCAACCGAAATGAAAACGGGTGGGACTTGGTGAGTGTGAAAGCCACTATCTTGAATGAAACTCGAAGCGTTCAGAAATATATTTATCAAGAAATAAAATATATTAGCAAAGAAATTGCTAAGAGAATATCTAAAGCATGCACAAACATTGGAAAACGATCAAGCAGAAGAAATATTATGGCAAAGCAAGGCCCTACATGCACCACAGACGGATGGCAATACGAAATCCTATTAAAGACTGGAGAAAGCTGGACTGAAAGGCAATACTACGGCATTGATTATAGCAAAATAGGAGCAAGCATTAAGCACTAGATCCATCGAAACAAAACATCCCAGAACTAGTTCAACACATAGCTCCAGGATGTAAAATGCAACCAGGAATATATATCGAAAGATATACCAAGTAGATGGCATCACCTACAGGAATATTTGCTTGGTATATGGCTTAGACTCTCTTAAGACTAAGTGGGAGATTCATCAGAAAATCGTAGAATTAGACGAAGATACTGTGGTATAATGGCCAATACTGGTCAATAAACCAGACATCGTTGTAATAGACAAAAATCAGCAATGGTGATTAATATAACGATACCAGGCGACAGGAATGTCAGGAAGAAAGAAAAGGAATATGAGAATCAAAGTTCAGACCGGGATGCGATTATGCTGGCCAGATATTTACGCTAAGAAGGGTGCTGGAACATCGTTTCAAAATACCAGCAACCCACCATCATTTGCTGTATCCATTTCGCAGCTGATCCCGATTCGATTGACAACGCTCTGGAAAATGATGGAATGTGACGATATCCCAAAGAAGATCATTCGGCTCATAAAGGCATTTTATTAGCATACCCTTGCACAGGTTTATGCATATGAGGAACTGACAAACTCCTTCGAAATAAGAACTGGGATCCGTCAGGGCTGCGCCCTTTCCCCTACAATATTCAACTATGTGATAGACGGGATAATCGCTTATCCGCACTCAAGAGATGTGTAAATTAATCCAGAGCATAGCATTCTTGAATATGCTGATGATCCTTTTTGCTGATAGTTATAATGAAATGCAAATAATGTTAAACAATGTGCCAACTGCAGTGAAAACTGGACTCAAATCAATATAAATAAAAGAAAGAAGTGTTTTCGTCTTATATACAAGACTGATAAAATACCTATTTTTATCAATTCATTGCTGGTTGAGAAAATACCCGATTTTTCTTGGATGTACTTTAATCCCAAATGGCCAAGCAAGGAATAAAATTGTAACCCGGACAACTACAGCTAGAAATGTTCTTTTCCGATTAATGAAACCTTTATAGAACCGTCGCGAATTCACCATAAAGACGAAAATCCACGTCCATAAAACTGCAATTCGCTCGATCTTGCTATATGACTGCCAATAAGAGTGGAAGATATTATGAAGCTTTCAGCCTTTGACCACTCATTTCTAAGATATATACATATTATACATATTATTATGGATCCATCGAGCGGATAAAATCGCACATGATTGTATCCATCTCCGCTCAAATACCACCTGTATTAATATTATTATAGAGTGTCGTTTTCGCTGGTTTAGAGTACGTTTACGTTCTCCGTCGTCCACCACAGAAGTATATTTCATTACTTGTTAAACCCTGTGATGGTTGGCGTTAAAAGCGAGGAGAGCCAATCAAGACCTGGACTGCTACAGTCAGGAAAGATTTTGAACGTATAGGAGGACCAGCGATATATGGACTTAGACAATGAATTGATAAAAATAGGTATTTTATCAGCATGATGGAAAAAGGAATGGCTTCTATTACTATTAGCGATGGCATCGGAACGAGCAACTTGGAGACCCTATCCTTGTAATCAGCGAAGCCAGCCTAATCAGTAGTGGTGACAGCTATTAAAAGAAAAAGAAATGCCAAGCTAAAAGAAAACTAGAGAAGATGTGGAAAATAAAAGCCAAAATAATTCCAGTAATAATTGGAGCACTTGGAACCCGTGTTCCCTAAACTAGAAAAGTAACTTCAGCGGATTCCAGGGACAACATCAGAGATCTATCCAGAAGAAATATTAGGATCAGCTAATATATCGCAAAACAAAATTAATAAATTGAAAATATCGACAAACTGCGATGCAATGAACGCTTGCCATTTATTAATTTATAATCAAGCAGAAGCTATTATGGAAGTCTAAATTTGAAATTGTTGAGTATATGTCCTTAAATTCTTCTAAAACCTCAAAACCTCAATCTCCAGAGCCTCTGGTAGAATAATCAAGGTTGAGGATGATCATGACCACCTATAGGACAGTGAGAGAAATTTTTTTTAAATAATTTTCAAAAGTCGATAATAGTTTAAATTTCCTAACAGGATTAGTAGAATGAAATTAGAAAAATGGAAAATTTTAAAAATAAAAATTGAATACCTAATATAGCCATAAGTATTCCAGGTTCTTTGCTACTTATTTTTGGTAAAGCGGGCAAAATTTGTTCCGTAACCATCCAAGATTCTAGAGAAGGCAATAATTTTCCCAAACATAATAAAGCTTGAACTCGTATCTAAATTTACTCGATAAGAATCATAACAAAATCTATACATATGTTTATAATATTCAATAATAATAAATGGAATAAAGGCAAATTAAATATGATAAATTTACCGCTAATACTCCACCATCCACTACTATACGCAATAACTTTGGTATTAACTGATTTTTCATCGAATCTCTATCAATTAAATTACCAACAGTTGGGATGACAGCGATACAAAGCTCCTAAAAGTATAAAAGAATAAAAATATAAAGGTATAAGAAAGGAATAAGAAAAGTGTTCATAACATGAACAAAATTTCTTTCAGAATATCGTGGATCCCGAATATCATTTGGTTTTTTTTTATTTCAAAAGATCAAAAAGTGAATATGAAGTAATATGAAAGTTTAATCAAATATCAACCTGGATTTTTGGCACTTCGTTTGCAATGGCTCTATAAATAACTGGCAGCAGAAATTTTTGAACGTCTTCCTCAGAAGCTTTTCGTAAAAGCAACTCCATATTTTGCAATAACATCAATACGATCTATTAAACCCATAAATTAAGGATTTATTTTGCAAAAGCAAAATAGACTTGATAAATTGATCTTAGAGATGGAACTAACTAAGGTAATGATGGTTGGGAGATAAGCTGTTTCGAAGTAAAGAAAAAATATAGCACCTTCATGCAAATACGCTTCTAAAAGCCAACTGTGCAGAAAACTGATCTATATTTCTGTATTTCTATTTCCAAGTAGCTAAAAAACTTTTAAAAAAGGAATTAAAAAACTGCAAACAGATGCTGACACAAAAAATTAATCCAGTAAAACCTGATATGGCTTCTCCATTTCAAACACAGCGGTAATATGAGGCAAAATTGTTGAAGTAAAATCATCGTTTGTTGACTGTTCAGCAATAAGAAAGATGTTCGGAAGTATGAAAGGTATCAAATCACTTGTAGATAATTCAGCACACAAATATGGAAAAATTTTTTGCAACATTGCTCGCTGAAAATCAAAAATTTAAAAATAAGAAAATATTTGAAAATAAGAAAATAAAAAAAATAGAAATAAGAAACATACTATTCCACATCAGATTATCTCACCATATATCACCTTAGATCATCCTCCACCAAAAATCTAGATTTTCAAATAGAAATTGCATTTTTTGATGAAAGATTTGACCGGGTAATGCTGGCGATTCACTTGTATTTCTATCGCCAAGAGATTCCCTGGCCCAATATAACAAGCCTGCGGAGTCAGTAATGGTGAGGACTCTTTAAAAAAAATGAAAGATATGAAGCCGTATAGAACAAATGGGAAAATAAATTTTTCTTCTAACATCTCTCACCATTACTGGCTCCACTGGCAACAAGGATCCGCGATCTGATACCATCGGAATTGAAGCCATTCCTTTTTCCATCGTCTAAGTCCATACATTGCTGGTGCACCTATACGTTCAAAATCTTTCCTGACTGTATCAGTCCAGGTCCAGGTGATTGGTCCATCTCTTTTTTTGACACCATTCACTACAGGGTTTAACAAGTAACGAAATATGTGGGCGACAAAGAAGGCAATGTGATGGTACTGTTAATATAAGTGTTTGAACGAAAGTGGATGCGATCATGTGATATCTTATCCGCTCGACGGATCCGTAAAATGTACCTTAGATAAGAGTGCTCAAAGGTAGATAGCTTCTTAATATCCTCCACTCTCATTGGCCATGTGTCAGAGCCATATAGCAAGATCGAACGAATTACGGTAATATAAATGCAGACTTTCGTTTTAATGCTAATTTCACGATGATTCCATAAAGGTTTCGTCAACTGGATGAATGCATTTCTAGCTGACGTGATCCGAGTTGTAATATCATCTTTTGCCTGTCCATTTGATATTAGAGTGGACCCAAGGTATTTGAAATCGGGCATTTCCTCAAACGGCAATGAATTTACAAAAAAATAGACATTTTATCAGCTTCTTGCACATAAGAAGAAAAGACTTTCGTTTTATTTACATTGATCCTGAGTCCGATTCTTGCTGCAGTTTCTGACTCGTTATTTAGTATTACTTGCATTTCGTTATAATTATAATTATCAGCAAAAAGGACTACATCATCAGCGTATTCAAGATCTATGATACAATTCTCTGGACTGATTTGTATACTTCTTGAGTAAGCGGTGTCCATTATGCAGTCTATCTCATAGTTGAATATCGAAAAGGAAAGGTTTGATGGACAACAGTTCTTATTTTGAGTTTATCATTTCTCCATCAACACAAATCTGCAGGAGATGTACGCTCTCTTTATGGATCAAATGATCTTCTCTGGAACATCACTGTATTCCATCATCCGCCAAAGTGCCGTTCTATCAATTGAATCGAAGAGATGAAACATTATAACGGTGGGTTGCAAATATTTGAAGCGATATTCCAACACTTCTTAACGTGAATATAAAGTTAGCAAATCGCGTGAACCCAGCTTAATTAGAGTTCATCCTGCTGTTCCATACTGCCTAAGAATCTATTGAGTAAGAGGGAAGCAAAAATTTTCTCTAAGACGTCTAGCAGGCTGATTCCTCGATAACTATCGTAATTCTGTCATCTTTCTTGGGAACTGGGAGCAGAATTACTTTGCTCCAGTCACCTGATACTATTTATTTCTTCCATACTACAGTGTACATTCAGTGAAGGTATGTTATGAAGGATGATGGACAACGTTTGAAGAGTTTAGCCCGAAGACCATCTTCTATCGGTAGCTTATCGGCCTTAGGCTTGTGGATAACGGAGAATATTTTTTCTTCTGTTAGCGGATTACTATATTTGGGTCAATCGGTGCATTATGGTTAACTTTGGGCTCAGTGAAATCACAATTCCTTCCATTTTATGAGGCAATTCTTAACAGGCCCACCATTGCTATCCCGTACTATTTCAGTGATCGTTCCCTGAGTTATAGTTGTTTTATGGAAAAAGTGAAATGGTTTCCTATTATTAACATCGTCTCCATTGTCAAGGTCATATCGTTCGAATAACGATTTCTATCTCGCCGTGCTGTTATCTTTACAATTCTTCGAAGCATACGTTTATCAGAATCTCCTGACATTCATGCTTTGGCATAGTTTCCAGGCAGTTGGACAAATGCTTCTGATAACCAACTAACATTTCCTACTATGCCTTAGCATAGAAGTGGCTGACTTTCGAAGATATTCCTTTAGTTTGGACCAGTATTCTGCTGTTCCAGAAAAATCATTGATATTTGTACCATTAAGGTATTTAAATAATTCGATTTGAAATGTGCTCGCTATTCCCGAATTTTTTAGTTTGAGATAGTTGAATGATCTTGGGGGATGCTATTTTTCGCGAGTTGTCAATTTTATGCGGACCTTGGCTAGAACCACAACATGAAGATTCCCCATTTCACCGTCGCGATAGGAACGACTATATAGTACGGAACTCTTCCAATGGCAAATGAGTAAGATATAATCAATCTGGTTGAAGATTTGGCTATGCGGAAGTTCCACTGACTCGATGTTTTCTACGATGCCAAGCAAATATTAATAATAAAAAGTTCATGCATAACGAAGAAGGCGTTTCTCATTGGCGCATCGATCTCCGATGCCATATTTGCCAATTGTAGAGGTCATCGTAGCGGCATTACGACCTGCAAGCGCATTCCAATCTCCCTCGACTATGACCATGTTATATTTTGGTATTACTTTATTAGCAGCTGAAGTACCGCATAGAACTTATCACGGTCAAAAAAGTTGGAGCACAAATACTGATGGCCAAGATATTGCAGAATTTACCTTTAAAGCAGGTATAGGTCATATGGCTGTTTACCGGTTCCCACTCTGTCAAAGCGGGTCTTTTCGGATGAAAATGAAAATCTCTATGCCATTCTCCCCGAAGTTATCAGAAGCATCTGATCACCAATACTTCTGCTCAGAGCCGAGATTATTAATTACTCGAGATCCAAAGTCAGAAAGACGGACCTCCGATAAACAGATAATATTCATACGATATTTAGAAAGAATGTGGACAGTGGTCGCCTGGCTTGCAATGTCCATAAGCTCTCTAACGACATTCTCTGCACGCTGATAACATCTCGCCGCGCAAGCACAGAGTCGTTCCTCTTGATAGAGCTCGAGCTAGAATTGTCTTACGAGCATAAATTTATGAATCTTGGGATCGTTTTACACACGGATTGTATACTTGCCGCATATTCCACTGGGTTGGGAGTATTATGCTGGGAGTAAGAGGAGTGGACGACGTGTCATGAACATCTTACCCCTTTACCATAGAGTTACCTTGAGAACAGAATTACAGGTGATCCCACAACATAATTCTAATATTATTTTATTTTATATTATTAAAAAAGAAGAGATATTGCTAATAAACTAAAAAAAATTGTTTTTTATAAATTAAATAGGAAGAAATATTGGTTTTCTGAATAATATAACCTAAGTTTTTATAATAATATAACTATTAATTTGAAGAAAAATCGCTTTCTATATATATAAATCACATTTTTTCAATCACATAAAAAATCAATGGAAAACATGCCAGATATTATTTTTCAGAACTTGACCTAAAAGATTTTTGGCGTGCGCTTTTTCTGCAATGAACGAAAAATTTCAAAGAGAATTTTTTGGAAGAAAAATAAAAAAAAATGAGAAACGGGAAAAAAATTAAAAAAACTAACTTTAGGGAATTTTATTAAAATTTGAGGTAATCCTTTGAAAAAATGCATTTTCTGACAATTATCCATTTGACAAAGTGCATCCAAATAATTAAGTGTTTTCAATAAAGGATCATCGAAGTAGATAATCTGAGCAAGATTGAAAAAAATATTTAAATACATTCAAGCTTTAAATTCAACCATTTTAGAAAAACCTTGGAAAACTGAGTGGCATCTGGTCGCAAATCAGGAGTGATATTAAAGCACATTTTCAAGTCATCTCGAAGTTCTGTAGGAACATTTGATAGAATTGACAATGGAAATGTTTTCAACTGGAAGAAAATGTTGTTGTAAAAAATAATTTTGCTACATTTTATGCCTTACAAGAAAATTGGATTTGAGAAAAGCAATAAAAATATAGAATATCAAAACAATAAATAGAAAATTTCACCTTTAACTAGTTTAAATTAATTGATTAATTTATAAACAAAACAAAACTTGAAAAGCAATTGAATTAAAAAGAAAGCGGTTAATTTACTTGATAGTTCATTCTCACTCTGTTTGAAAACAACAGCTAACTTTTTCGATATTTCTTCGGAAGATATCGAGCATATTTTGATGATCAAAAGGAGGTTTTCCTTTATTAAAAATAACAACAGATAATACACCCAACGAATATATGTCTGCATATGAATCACATCTTCCACCAATTATATATTCTGGTGCAATATAATTCAAGGATGGCTGCACTATAGACATAATTCGTTGATCCCATTCTAGCATATCATAAGTAATCTGCAAACAATGCGCAATTATCATCAAATAGAAAATTCTAAAAAATCATCAAATGGTAGATTACTAATAAAGTTTTGATTTAAATAATAGATGATTATATGATTATTTTCTTAATTAAAAAATACGTAAATTTTGGATCAGAGGAACTAATAGATGAAAACAACTAAAAACCGCAGAAATCTAACGTGATAAGAACTCTCAATATAAGAAATTAAAAAAAAATAAAATTTAACTTGACAAAGAACACTTTTTGGCCAAGAAAGCATTTTTTTTGATAAACAGTATCTAGATATTTTATCAACAAATCTTATTTTATCAACAGATCACTCTTTAATTAAACAATCTTACTTTTCCATTATTGGTTGATGTGCCTTGAATTGCAAAATCGAATCCACCCAATTTCCAAGCCCCTCTATTATTTATTATAATATTTTCTGGGCAAATGTTTCTATGAAGCATTCGGGCATCGACGTGCAAGAATGAAAGAGCTTCAGCAATCTATAATTTTGCTATATGAAGTATCACTCGATCAATAAAATTGTTCAAAAAATATAAATTTCATTAAATCAAATATAGAAGCAATTAAATAAGCACGAAACCGAAATGATTCTTCATATTTTCAAATGGTGAATTTTCAAAAAATTCACCAAATAATTCTTCCCATGAAAATTATCCCATTTCACCAATGCACTTTTAAAACAATATCTTCATCAAATAAAATTATTTAAATATTAAGTATTAAAACAGTATTAAACGTTAAATGTTAATATTAAACGTTAAATAGCATTATTAATGATAAAAAATATGACAAACAAAAACAAATAAAAAAAATATGCTGAACAGCAAAGTTAAATAAAAAGTTTAAGAATAAAAATACAGAATAAAAATACCTGAAACAAACCATGTCGAATTTCAATATCCAACAAATGAAAATCGTTCAAATGTGGCATATTATCAGTTGTCGATGAAAAACAATTTGCTAGACTTGCAAAAACTGGCTCAGTGCAAAATGCATAAGATTCGCTGAAAACAACCTATTTTTAATTTTCATGTCTTCGCTTTTTTCACAGTTTTTCCACAATATAGATAACGGGTATAGTAAACGAATAATAAAAACCATACTACTACTACTGCTGGTTAGATTCGCTTCGTTGGCTTCTCGGATCAGACAAATATCCAGACTTAATAGAGATAGATGTACAAGTGAATTGCTAGAATAAAGTAGATTTTTGAACGACAGGTTCACTCCTGCTGGGAGTAGAACTTTAAACTTCAATATCAGCGCATCACTAGGCCATTCTACTCTCCACTATTTTCTCTGTTAAACGATACTGCCGCCTGACGAATCGTGGTGCATCGATCAAATTCGAACACAAACCTCGATTCTCAGCAATCATTTGCTATTGAGCCACCGATATATTACGTAATAAAGAAAATAACAATATCAAACATGGTGATTTTTTTTAAAATACGCACATCTTGGTTAGTCTCACACCAGTGGTATTGGCATGTCAGAATAGATAAATTTTGCTTACTAGAAGTCACATGGCTGGAACACAAAATTTTTGAAAAAAGAACCCCTTTTGCTAAGAATACAGCCACAGCAGTGGCGCTCCGAAAAGAAAGCAACAATCCACTGAGCCAAACACGGAGATCACGACGACCATAAAAAATAAAAGGAGAAAAACTTGCCGAGATTCCTCCAATGGATGTTCAATAACAAGTATTCGAGGATGCCTCAATTTCGTTAACTGTTGCACACCCTTTTTCAGTATTTCGCTGAAAAGTTCCTTTTCATACCGAGGCCATTTTTCAGAATCTTTTTTCTCGAAAAGCCATATTGCAACTGACTAAAAAAACAAAAATTTTTTTTCCAAAAATTGACTTATAAAGTAACAAAAAAACTAATAAATAATAATAAACAAAAGTTAATTATTATTATTTAATTATTATTTATTCCCGCCTAATTTTTCATCACTGATTTTATTATTGCATTTTATCAACAATAATAAAAAAATAATGGCTTAAAATAAAAAAATTAACCTGCTTAGTTGAACGCTTTCGTCCAGAATAAATTTTCCATGTCAAAGAAGAACCAGCAGTGGCAATAAGTGAAAAAACTTCATAATCTCTTGTTATCGGATTAGCAGAAAGAGCGTTGCTAACTTGTGCAGCAACTGATGTTACTGTCGAACGAATTCGATTTAGATAATAATCCATTTCTAATTAATTGCTTAATTAGATCATTTATTAAATTAATCAATCCATTGTTTTCCGACTTAATTCATGAGACTGAAAACGAGAAAATCCAATTATCACGGAAATTTAACCGCTCACTTGTTCTTTCTCTGAATCATAGAGCTTAAAAATTTATATCAGCGTTTTCCTAATTTGTCCCTCAATGAAGAATGGAAGAGCGAACGAAAGAACAAGATACTCCACGGTCACCCGGCTCCTAACCGCATGTAAAATTAGCTTATACTTAAAAGGTTATTATCTTACTGGCAATTGATATGCTATCAACTAAGAAAGAAGAAGAAAAGAAGAAACTTATAAGGAAATAATAAATTTGGAGGATTAAAATGGATTGAAATAATTTTAATAATTGTAATAATAATTTTATCATAACCATCCCATGCTAATAAATAATTATTTGATATTCGACATTTGGTCTATTTTTTTAATTATATTTTTAATAAAGCTTTTATTATCCAAGATAGATGTCACACACTATTTATGATTCCATTTACGATTCCATTTCGGTGCCAATCCGGGCTGCAGCAACTTCAGTACCGATGACAGCGAGCAGAAGTGGTGCGTATAGCTCCGAGGAACCCCAGGATCGAGAAATAATACCATTCAAATAGTTAAAGCCCGTCCACATCTCAACGCTTATATATTAACAAAAGAGCGGGTGATGCTGGTGACTTATTGTGCTATTTCTATTACCAAGGGACTCCCTGGCATATTTGTCTAGTGCGATAAGCCAGCGGAGCCAGTCTAATTAGTAATGGTGAGGTCTCGTAAAAAAAAAAGTGGCAAAAGAGTGCAGCCAAGAAAACATTTAATAAGATTAGTAATAGTTAGTAAGATTAAGATAAATTACTAAGATGTATAAAGAAATGGGCAACTAGAGTTCCCAATATCATTAATTAAATTGCAGGCATGAAAGTCGACCTGGCATGCCACTCAGACTAATGGTAAGCATGGATTTTATTACAAGACCGCATGTAATTCAATCCACAAGTGGCTCGCTGGAAAAAAATGGCACAGCAGTGGAAAACAGCACAGTACTAATGGAATAATAGAAAAAGGAATAAATACATTGACTCTCAATGATTCTACTTAGAAGATGTTTAGAGGTTGGTGCGGTTAGTCTTCGGTTAATCTTAAATACACGCTGAGAGAATCATCAGCCCCATTTCGACGAGGACCACATAACCGAAAAGTATTGAAAAAATTGCTTTCCAACTTTTGCTATATTCTTCAGGTAGAGTAATTTTCTTTTCAACATAATCGATTGTTTATATTTTTCCGAGAAATAAAGTATACACCACATATAAAAAATTGGTGCCAATGAACTAGGTCATGCATATCACCAAAACTCTTTAATCTTCGCAAACTAACAAATAACCCACAATTCGAGCCACAGGACCCCACTCAGGATACAGACCGAAATTTTTTCCGAATTGAACAACTGAATAAATATAAAGTTGCTAAAAATTCATCTCTCAAATGAGAGGAAGCCAGAATGGCAAAGTGCCAACGTAATTGAGATTCGCCATTTTATGTCTTATCGATTGGCAGTGTAGGCAGGGGGTGGGGGGGGGGGGGGGGGGGGGGGAGGAGAGGGGTTATTTGAGGCTTTTCTGGTGGTATTTAGAGGTTAGTGTGGTTGGTCTTTGGTACCGAAGTTCTTTATAATTTTTCAGAAATTATTGAAGAAATAGAGTGCTAGAGTGCACTTTTCATTTTATCTTTATTTTACTTATTTACTTGCTGATGATAAATCTTTATTTTGCCATCAAATTATTTATGTTTAGTGGTGACAGATCAGTTTTTTTAAGGTTATTTCTAGCTTTATTAAGACTTGAACTGATGATCTCTGAACATTAGCCATTTTTCATGCAGATTCATTTTATAATATTTCATTATTTGTTTAATGAATTAATTGTTCGTCATTATATTTCATCATGGTCATTCATGTATTCTTTCGTTTTATTAAAATTTAGATTCAAATAAATTTCTCTTGTCAAACTATGTCAACGACATCAGTAAAACATCGTGATTTTGTATCTGAACCAATGGGCGATAAAGATGTCACCGCAGTTGCCGGCATTGGACCTACGTATGGTGAAAAATTAGCGAAAATTGGTTTTGATAAGGTTATTAGTATCTATTATTTGTTATATCATTTACTGTGTTTTATTCATATAGTTTTTGTCTTTTTTTAAAAAATTTGTAAGGGCACTTCCTAGCGTTTTTTTATAAATGTTTCCCCGGAAGATCTTTTTTGTTTTTTGCTCACCAATAATTTTCACTATCTGTCCAGAGTACTGTGATCTTTTTCCTCGTATATATCCCAAGTATATTATCTGTATTCCTTCTAACAATCACATTTGTTATTCCACTGGTTCTGATTGTCATCCTCGTCAAAAGGCAGGGATTATGATGGCTCACTTTATTGGAGGTCAGAGCAGAAATCTATATTTTCTTATTGATAAATGAATATCAAAAATAAAATTAACAGGCAATAATTTTCAAATAATGAATGAATAAATTTGATACCTTTTCATTCTATTTTTTCAGGCTTACGTTCTCTTTGGTCAATTCTTATTATTAAAAAAGGAGAAAGAACTCTTCATAGATTGGTTAAAGGTAAAATATTTCACTTTTCATAGGGAAAGGTTTAGAGTATACCACAGTTACAGATATTTCCCTGAAATATGGCAGTAGTGATATTTTATTTTATTTCGTTTTTTTTTTAATATTCTTTTGTTTTGCCAATTATATATAAATTTTTTTGTCGGACACAATTCTACTTGGACATGACAAAGTAATCTGCAATTAATAGAACGTTACTACAGCTAATGGAAGGGAATATGTGAAATATATGAAAGTAATTGTGGATGGACACTTGCATCCACATTAACTGAGAAACATTTAACTGCCCAACTCTTCAGTGTAGCTCTTCACCATATCCAAGATAACCGAAAGAAGAACGAATTCGAGAATTTGGGAAGTTGGAAATTTCCTTTCATTATCATCGTTACAGAGCAGAAGAGTTGTCATGAGACAAAAAATCTTGTATGTCATAAATAAATTCTTTGCAATCAGCTCTCAAGGTAACCTACCGAGATCCATTGAAATACCTAGCAGACAATATTGGAAATATAAATATTGGAAATGCAGATAGAGTCCTCACAATAATTCATGCTAACATTATAACAGAAACCAGTGAACGCCACAGCCGCTATAATTCTAAAAGAATTTGCTTGTTTTCTGTGAAATGGAGACTGAACAAAAAGGTTAGAGACAAAGAAGTTAATCAGTCGGCAGAATTGCAAAAGGATGTGGAAATAGGACTGCTATTAATACAATACTTTATTATAAGCCCTAGAATCTGCTAAAGAAAGTCTACTTCCGAGCATTGGCTACCAGGATGACATATATCAGAGTAGTAGAGATCAAAAAAATAATGCCCTTTTCTTCAGAGAATCGACTAAGGCGCAAAAAAATAAACGAGAGAAAAAGAAGATTTATGACATGATCCAATGCAAAGGGAAGCCATAGCAGTATCCCAGAGTAGAAACCAGTTATCATCATAGTTGCAATTATACAATACGGGTTGAAAACATGAAAAACTGGATAGCATTTGGTCCGGACATAATCCACACATACCAGCTGAAGAAACTAATAGCAATTCACAGAATGCCAAGTAATATAGATGAACAAGCTGTTTTCGGTTTTCATCGGCTTAGGCTCTCATCCAAAAGCTGTTAGCAAAGAAAAAGATGAAAGAATACCATCCAATTACCGTTAACATGCTAAGTACTAATAGTTATCACAGTCACCAAGTTATAAAATCGTAAGACACAATATATGACTATAATTCGAAAAGGCACTGTGAATAACACCAAAGGGTTGGAATATCAGGTACTAACTAAAGGCATTTGTTCAAGATTCAAGATCTGGATATACCAATTTCTGCATTGGCCAGATTAATTTTGGCAAAGCTTTGTATTCGATGTCTGGCACAGATTTTAAATGGTTCTGTGTGAAATCAATAGTTGCTAACAAGCTACTATCGAAAACTCAGTGGGACTGTGAAAAACAGCATTTAAAATCAGCTGAAAATAGTTTACATAAGTGGTTACATACTACATGCTACATGTTATCATAGTTACACTACTGTTTTGCATGATGGAATAGTACTATCAATACGCGAATAGTACGCGAAAATTGGGATTATGCAGACCATGATTGGTATTTCCTGTGATCTCTATGTAATCTCTATGATGTTTGGGTTTTATGGAAGCGGAATGGAAAAAATATTGATGTTTTTGAACAATATTCTAAACAGTGTTGTTGGAGAAGATTTCTTATATCCGCTGAGAAAATCGATGGATTATCGAATAAATCAAGTTAAAGAATTCTCACTCGTAGCATACAACCTGACCTGTCTCATCTTATGTGATCATATAGATCTTCGGAAAATATTATTATTAATTATTATTAATTATTAGATAAATAGATTTAATCATAACAGATGCAAAGATACGATAAGTGCACTGTTGATTATTAAGAATCGGAAACGACTTGGTGACGCATAATTATATTTTTTATTTTAGCAAAATATGTCTGGATAACGATATTCTGAAAATTCGGTACTATATGTAGTTTGCATTATTTTTTAATAATTTTAGGAAGTGGCTGGTGTAAGCAATAATCATGCAACTTCTGCATTTAACTGTCTAAATGAATGGAGCGAGCAGTATATTTGAAAGATTTTATGCAATTTTATATTTTAAAAGCGTATGGGTTAAAGGATATCATATCTAAAAATATCCTTTTTTATTATCGAAAGTCATAATGAATCTTTGAACTCCTAAGTGTACTTTTTTAGCGGGAATTATTTTATTTTCAAAAATATCTAGGTTTAAAGTTTAAATTAAATTTCAAATCGGAATATTTAAATTTTTATTTCCTGTGGGAAAGTAGAGATAGCTGAAATTGATTTATGTGAAATTTATAGGTAGTTAAGTTTCATTTTGATTTTAGTAATTTTTCCTGAATTTATTCAAAACCAATTTGATTTTTCTTTAACTTATTTTATTGGAAAAAAACAAATTGATGGATGACAGATCTTGAGAAATAGGCGAATTTTTGAAATTTTTTTGGTTTCCTTATTTTTGTCATCTCTTGTCGTTTTTCAATTTTTTTGAGTTATGAATTTATCACTCTATTTTTAGTTTTTTGCTTTATCCAGTTTTACGCGTCTGATGTGTGGTTTCCATATTTGCATTTGTACATTTGTATTCACAATATATTGATAATAAATACTGTTATTTAAGAAAAATATTGATTAAATAGTATCAAAAAGCCGAAGCTAGAACTTTTATGAATCGTTTTCAACAATACTGGCCTTAAATTATATTTTATGAATCAATTAATGAAAATATGGAAGGAACTTTATAAAACTTTGGGTAATTTATAAAAAATTGGAGAAAATTGTTTTTGACTATAATTGAGGTACTTATTTATTAATCTAAATTGTAATTTGTATTGTATCAAGCAAAATTAGATTGAAGGGCTATCAAATTCTTCAAATCTATAGATTTATATTTTAAGAGACCCACTTCAGATAGTCCAAATGAGGTACATATAAGTACATGTCTTCCGCTGATTTTTTTGATTCATCAATTATTTCTAAAAGTACGATGGGGAAAACGGTGAAGGAGTCTATTCCAATTCAGTGGATTTTGAAGGAATCGTCATGTTGTCATCATGCAGTTCTTTATTGCTCGAAGATTTGCCTCAGCTCAGATTGATGAAAATATTGGTGGGTGGGTTTTCAATCGTTTCCTATTAATTATTCATGGTTTGATTATTTCGAATTTTAGGCAGTTTAGAAATTCACCAATGGAAATTCTTCTGGTGACCAATAACATTTTTCGTAATTTCAAGATTTTTTTCAATAATATTTTTTAAATATTGAATATTTAACTGTCTAAATGATTTTCCAAGATTTTTTTTTAAATATTGAATATTTTTTAATGATATTTTTGCTCTTAAGACTTTAATAAATAAAGGCTTAATTTTTAAAAAGTATTTAATAATATTTTTTAATAATATTAATATTTGAATAATATTTATGCTCATAAGACTTTTAGGGCCTTCTTGATAAGAGCAACAATAGTGAATAGTGCTGATTCAATCAAACAGTCCAGTTATATAATTTTAATGAGTACAAAGTGCTCGAAGCAGATTTCATATGGAAAAAATGGAAATCCTCTTCTAATTTTTTAAGAAATATTTTTAATATTTCAAGTCTTAATACTTTTTATGAAAGGTTTGACTTTTAACGTAAATTATATTTTAGATAAAATAAAAGATTTGTGAAACTGTGATTATACTGATATAAATTGGAAAAATTTCTTTCGATATGAAATCTATTTCCTAACTCTCTAACTTTTCTAACTTTCATTTTATATTTTATTTTATATTATATTTTATCATTTTATGCTTTTTTATTAGTTTATTTCTAAGAAATCTATTCCTATAGATTCTTTCTGTACTATAGATCTGCGTTTTTTTGAAAAATTTTTTTGAAAATACTCAAAATTTAAAAGGTGGTTTTTTTTTATTGCAGATTTTATCAACATATTATGTTGATAATTATTGTTAAATATATGTTAGTTATCAATTACTTTTATTATATAAAATATTAAAGTTTTTTGGCGTTTTTTTCATGCTTTGGAAGAATTATGATATTATTATCAAGCAGTGCATTCATTCATTCAATTTTTCTAAATTTAGATGGTCGCTCATTAAAATAAAAATCAATGAAAATTGGGAAATTAACTCCCTCGAAATAAGAGCTGGTGTCAAGGTTGATTCCTTTCCCCTACAATATTCAACTGTGCAATATACGGGATAATGGACAAGGGGTGTCCAAATCAGTCCAGAGCATCGTATCACAGATACGCTGATAGTTATAACGAAATGCAAGTAATACTAAATAACTTGTCAGAAACTATAGCAAGAATCGGACTCAGGATTAATGTAAATAAAACGAAAGTATTTTCGTCTTATGTGCAAGAAGCTGATAAAATAAAATAAAATAAAATGCCTCTTTTTGTAAATTCATTGCCGGTTGAGGAAATGCCCGATTTTAAATACCTTGCGTCCACTCCAAACAGAATAAAATATATATACATAGAAGAAATAATATGTCACAAATTTTAGTTTCTTCATCATCTTTGAACGGGTTATACAGGCGCGATGTGAGGCGGTGTACGATTCGGATTTTTGTCCTCAAACTAGCGTACGACCGAAATTGACGTATAGGCAGCCCAGCGACATATGGCATTAGACAGTGATAAAGGTGATTTCAGTTAATTTCAGCTTCTGATGTGCGAGTTTCCAACCATCAAGTATTTTTTGACAGCTCATGAAGCGGAAGTGATTTATTTTCATAGGAGGAAGATCTCCCTAATATTGAAATAAAATACGAAAAAATGGATTGTTTAAAACCAATCTGGAGCGGAAGTTTCAATTCTAATCAAATCAAATCCTATCAAAACTTAAGTATAAAAATTATAAGTATAAGTATAAAAATTTGTGCAAGAAATCTGTGATAACAAATCAAATAAATTTAGCGATAGCACGTTGAATATGGAATTTAAGCAACTCGCTTTCGCTTATCAGGTTTTACTGGTAGTTTTATTATTATTCATGTTTCTTTAATTTATATTTTAAAGATATTCTGAAGTTTTTCTATTTTATAGTATTCCTAAGATCAAATATTCAAAAAATCAGTTTTCTCACAATTTTTGTCCTTCGTTATTTGTTTTAATTTGTTCACTGTATTTAATAAGTGCTGTGTTTAATAATAAGTAAAAAAGTGGTTAACGCTTAGATTCGACTCACAAGCTCGATATTAATGCGATGAAAATTTTGGTTAGGAAGTGACTTGATGACAAAAATGCGAGTGATTCGTCAACACTTCCTGAGTTTGAACTATGGTGCTATAATCTGAGCAGCAACTTGCGGCCTACTGCATCGGAATGAATTCAGCGACTCCGAGTCTTTTCTCGAAGCGCACCACTCCAATGAAATGGTGCGTCTGAACGTTGGCGGTATGCATTATTCCACGTTGTACGATAGATTGGTTAATGGAGGTCCGACATTTTTCGAACATATTTTTCGGATAAATGCAGCTAATCATATCGTTGTTTGTTTATAAACGACAAATTATTGTAAGTTTTGACGTTTAACAATAAAATGGGAATTTTCCTCGGTGTTATAATAGATTTAGAAAAATAACTTATATCGAATAAGACTTTGGAGACTTTTTAAAACACTAAAATCTATGGATGAACTATAAACATAGATTCATGAAAAAAGTGAATGAATGAACAATTAGTATGCAATAATAATAAATGATAATAGATTAATAAACTAGGAATTTGGCCAATTATTTATCAATCGTGAGGTGGTATTTTTTCGTGCATTCTTTACTTTTTTCGCGATGGAGCAAGAACTGTTCTTCCAAAATTAACTTACTTATTGCGACAACTTCTGGTTCTGATCAGACATTTTTAATTAGTTTCATTAATATAGGTCTCAGCTTCTTTTACTCTAAAATTTTCAATCGAAGACTTCATTTTGAAGCGAAAAACCGAATATTTTAGCATCGATCGTCTTCGAACAATGCTTATCGAAAATTTATTGGAAAAAGAACGTCTTGAAATACAATAACGCAATAATATGATAAGATCAGTCCAAGATACCTTTTTATCTCTGATTCAGAAAAAGAATTGACTATTTTTCTTGAAACATGTGAAATGAAAAGGAAAGAGTGAAAGAAAAGCTCTTGTATCAGCATAAAACCTTTTGTAAATGCAGATTTCATGATTTATCAAAATTTGATTAAAAAATTAGGATGAACCCGTTTTCATGAAAATACTTTTTATGTTGATAATTGATCACTATTTTCATCGATTTTGCATGATTCGGTTTCTTCAAAATTGCACGTTAGATTTCATACATTTGTCAACCGACGAATTGTTTCTATTTTCTGCAATCGAACTATAAATGTCTGGAAGATTTCCCTTCTCAGTTGAAGCGTCACCTTTTATTACCTAAAAATAATTCTTTAATGGCTTTTCTTTATTATTTTAATAGCTGTTTTGGTTTTTTTAGAAACATTCATTAATTATTAATTTAATTTTAGATAAATGTGCTCAACGGTAAATGGCTCATTATAAAATGAAAGCATAGGTGGTTTAAGGCGAAAGATATCGCCCGACTAATTTTATCCGCGTGTAAACGCACTAATTATTAATTGTTAGCCGGAAAATAATTTCAGAATTCGTTAGTAATCATACCGAATTACTATTGTTCGCCTTATCACGTGATCGGTGTTTCTTTCCATGGTTCTTTCTGCAGTCGTTGAAACTCGAATTTAAAAAATAATCACTTCAATTAATGTGATTACACTAGCACCTAAAACAGCGATTAAGAGAAAACCAGCGATTGAACAAAAATGTAAATGTAAGGAAAGAAATCGATAAGTGGCTAACCTAACCATAGACCAGCTTGGCCACCAATATCCGATATTAAATTGACAACCTAGAAAATCATTGCTAGCGAAATCGCGAAATAAGATAAATTAAAAATATTGAAATTCATGCATTGTTTGCATTTAATGCATTTATTCATAATAATTTCTATCGTTTCCTTTCTTTATTAACAGAATTGAACAAAAAGCGAAAATTTTCCCACTTTTAACACTCCATTCTCACAATTTAACTCTCCCAGATTAGCGATCTTAAATGAAAAATGAGATTCGGTCTCTTCATGATTTTATCAAAATTTGACAGTAGTGGTAAAGTTTTTTTAAAAAATTTGATAAATTATTCAGTCTTCGATTTATTATATCACTGAAAATATTAATTGGAATAAGTGTAAAAAAATATAAACGATTCTCGTTCATCATTTCTGGCTAGATCCTCTGGCTATTAGGATTAGAAGCTTTGACCAAGGAGTGATTAGAAGTTAGTTGAAGTGGAGATAGGTTAGTAGTCGGACCTTTGAAAGATTGGTTTACTCCCGCTGGAAGTAGAATCCCAGCATTGGCGTTCGAAATAAGGGTTGGTAACCTCGGATTTTTGATCAGATTTGAAAAGATCTTGAAAAGTAATGAAACAGTAAATTCAGTTAAACTAACAAGATAAGAAACCAATTCTGTGAGAATTTCATAGCTCATTTGTTTGTGTAAATTTCGACCATCGCTGCATTGGCTGAAATGCCACAGTGGATTAGTGGAATGAGGCATTAAATGGCGTTTAAGTATAAAATATGTCCAGTTAATCAAACAGCTGAGACAAGTGCCTTGACGACTGTCGAAAGAAGTCATGTTTCTTACGTCAGCATTATTCCCGATGTGTAAAAAATAATTCTACAATCTTAGTATTAACTCGCAGTCGTCACCACCGCTCTCCATGTTTTGCTTAAGTGATACTTTTGCAAAAGAAAAAGTCAGAAGAACTAAATTAATATATTAATACCAAGTTTTTAATTTATTTTTTCTTAATATTTTTTATTTATTTATTTCTTATTTTTAATTTTCATTATGTTTTTTTTCTATTTTTATTGCCATTTTTGAATTTTATTATTCCTTCGTATTTTTTTTTTCAAAATTTATTTCGTTTTTTTTTTATTCATTGTTTCTCTTTATTTATTTATCGTTATTCATTTGCTCTATGTGAAAAATAAATAAAAAAGTTTTTTTTGGTCGAAAAAATTTGAAAAAAATCTTTTGAGTTAACTCAAAGAAATTGCGGCTTAGGGAAGGGGAAGTGGAGAGCGATGTCACCGTAAGGTGGCTAAGTTTAACGCGCCAACCCCGTTATCTTCGAGACTTATCTGGAGAAACTTCAATGAAATGATTAAATTATAAATCGCGAATGAATAATTTAAGTAAATAATTATTAGGCATTGGGAATTATCATCTTAGTGGCTCGAAAATGGAAAATTTGCCAAATCTGTCAGCTAACGATAACGAAACGCTTACCCATAATATGCGATACATTCGTTTATATCGCTGTTGCAATCACCAACTTTGAATGAACCTGATGGCCATTTTGCGGAATATGTCGTTATGTATACGTCTTGTTGGCAGAGATGTTTACACTGACAAGAATGGCTTCGAATAGGAGATATGCTTCTGTTTGAGAGGCAATTTGCTGAAATCGAAAAAAGGATGTCAGGAGAATTGTCATTTTTGATCTAATTGATTTGAATTGATGAATTTATTAGAGCTCTTTTATGATTTAAAATTTAAAATTGTCGTTGAGCGGTCGGTTCATTTATTTGTTCTGATCCAAATCAATTATTTTTAAGCTATTGTTGCGAAGTTTTTTTTTATTCTTTCTCAAAATCTCATTTTCAAACGAGCTAAGTTTCTTTTTTTTTTCTCTTTTCCTAAATTCAAATAAAATTTTAAAAAAATATATGTATTTATAAAACTTATAATATTATAAAATAAATAATCTCATAAAATAACTATGTCTATCTTCGGCAGGAGAAAACCTGTCATGTCAATGTTTTTGATACGGAGTCTCCCGACGCGCATGATACTCCAGCCCGGTGGTACATGCAGAATCCGGGCTTAAAAAGATCCCAAGGCTGATAAATAAAATATGCTCTTAAGCTAGGGTAATTGCTCGAAACTTATCAAGGGGAACAGCTGTTTGTACTCGTGGCGAAGTTTTAGCCGTATCAGCGTGGAATGTCAGAACGCTTATGGACATTGCAAGCGATTACTGTCCACACTCTCTCTAAATATCGTGTCGATATCGCTTACTTGTCGGAGGTCCATCTTCCTTATTTCTCGAGTGATTATTAATCTTGGCTCGGAGCAGAGGTACTGGTTATATCACTGTGGTGCTTCGGATAACTCGGGGCGAAATGGCATAATGATTGTCATATCTGACAAAGCCCCTTCCGCTTTGATTGAATGGTAAGCGTCCATATGGCCTATGCCCGTTTTAAGGGTAAGTTATGCAATATTTCAGTCATTAGTGTGCTCAAACTCTGTCGGCAGACCGTGTTAAAGATAAGTTCTATGCGGTATTTCAACTGCTAACAAAGTCTCTACCAAAATATGACATGGTCATAGTCGAGGGAGACTGGAATACACGTGTAGGACATAATGCTGCTGCGATGACATCTACAATTGGCAAATATGGCATTATAGACCGGTCTGTCAATGGGGAACGCCTTCTTCGTTATGCCGAAGAGCACGAACTTTTTATTATTAATATTATACTTGTTTCTAGCATCGTAGAAAACATCTAGTCACGTGGAACTCCCCGAATAACTAACACTTCAACCAGATTGATAATATCTTAGTTAGTCACCATTGGACGAGTTCCGTTCTAGATAGTCATTCCTATCGCGATGGTAAAATGGGCAATCTTCATGGATCTGACCATGTTATGGTTCGAGCCAAGATCCGCATTAAATTAACTCGTTAAAAACAGCACCCTCAAGTTCCTTCAACTATCTCAAATTAAAAAATCAGTGGGACAGTGAGCGCATTTCAAACTGAAGCATCTCAGTGATACAAATATCAATGACTTGTCTGGGACGGCAAATGAACACTGGTCCAAAAAAAAGGAATGACAGCCACTTCCACTCTAGGGCATACTGGTAAGAGGTATGCTAATTGGGTATCGGAAACAATTATCCAACTGCCTGAAAAAGCTGCCGAAGCACGAAACACACTGCGACAATTACTGAATCGTGTGATGGATGGCGTCAAAAGCGAGGTGAGGCAATCAAGACCTGGACTGATACGGTCAGGAAAGATTTTGAACGTATAGGACCAGCAATATGTGGACTTACACGATGGAAAAAGGAATGGCTTCTATTACTGTCGACGATGACATCAGACGATGACTACGCCACTTGGAAGCGTTTTATTCTTGTAGCCGTTAGAGCCAACCTAACCAGTAATGGTGGGAGTTTTTAGAAGAAGAATGAATGAATTTAGGAACACTTTGCTCGAGCTGAGGACAAAGCAGCATCAGTCCAACTATTCTTTTACAGGAGTAAAACCCTTATTAGAAATGAAGTCTAAGTGACTTTGGTCCAAGCACTCGTCTCTAACATCACAAAGTGACTTTGGCAATCTTAACAATTAAGAGAAATATCTACGACAATTAAGTGGCCTTAGGATCTTGAAAAAATCGAATCTTTTTTAATGATCTATAGACTACTGAAAATATTCAAGTGAGGATAAGTCAACGCATAATCAATCTGAACAGTTACTCGTAAAACTGTTCTTCCAATCGCAAATACTGAATGAATCGTTTGGCAGCGGAAATCTTGGATCAGCACATGAGCATTTGTTGATTATTTCCATTTGATAACAATTTCTATAACAACCCTGAAATAATTTTTCTTTAAATCTATGAAAATGATGATCTCCGATGATGAATCTCCGAAACTGTTTTAACTGAAACTGAAGTTTTTAGCTGAAAATAAGTCAATGATAGACAAATAAAAATTTTTAAAAAAACGTTTAGAACTAAATCAGTGAAAACACCTCTGGTTCATATTTGTACTTTTTATATATATAGTTGTTAGGCAATGGGAGATCGGAAGGAACACAGTCGCCATAAGGATAATGAAGTCGATTAACCTTGCGCTGAAATACAATGGTTCAACTATAGTCTGAAACATTGCAAAAAAATTTCTATTCTTAACCAAACCAGAATTTGCTTTAGATGGATCTTGCATTAGATATAATAATGAGGTAATGCATAATGAGTAATATAAAACTGATTCGGTTGGTTTGATTGCCCTATTTTTTCATTGAAATTCGCGTTATGATTGAAGTCTATCTGTACATCAATCTGCCAACGAAAAATTATATAATGGCGATTCTTAAGATTTAAGAACTATTCAGATGATCGACCAAAAATTAAAAATCAAATCGAAAATTATAGAAAAACGTTTGATGAATTTGAAATAGAAATAGAATAAATAAAGAGACAAAGCAATAAGATCACAGTTGTACCAATGATAAACCAAATGAAGAAATGGCGCCAGTTGGAGCGCTATAACCGAATGTATCAGGAAATAGATGTTCTTCTGGACTATGAATAACTATATGAACACCAGTAGCTTCGGTTGTGGGCAAATAATCGCTTGCGTTCACAAATAGCATTAATCTTAGCCCTTGAATTATCAAAATTTTTGGCGTTTACCTCGATTTATTGAATACAAAAATTAAGTCAAAGGAATTGAAGAAATTGAACTTCCTAACATAAGCTGGGACCCAGCTAAAGACATGAAAAAACTTCCTAACCCACCTTTAGGCATTAAGGCATTTTTTATTGCTTAGTTTTTTAGAATTTATTTTAAACTCATAGTATTATAAGATGTTTTGTTTTTTATATAATTTGCCTTCACACTTTCACTCAAATACGTTTTTACTCTTAAAAATAGTTAGTCTTTGTCAGCTCCTTGCCAGTTAAAATAATTTCATAACACAAACAGAATTTAATCGTTGTAGTTTTTTTTAGATATTTTTCAATCCTTATACAATGATTTTTTAAAAGTCTCGAGTATGACACATCATTAATCTTATTTTCATATATCATTTTGAATGGCAATAAAAATAGAAAACGGTTGACCGTATCTTACATCTCAAAATAATCATGTTCTGCCATCATCTTCAATGATATCGAATGAAAAATATTACCATTGGTCGGTCCAGCGCCACTGCTGATCAGTGAATTATTTCGATCAACATTGAATGTATGACAGTTGCCGAAAGTTGCATCAACATGAAATTTAAAGTCGTTCATAATATCACACTGCTGTCCATTACATTCGTATAAATTCTGCTTTGCCGTATGAAAGAGCAATTCGGAGATGATATGGTAATAAAGACATTGTTAATACCATTCTGAAAATTCCCTGCTTTTTTAATTTAAAAAAGCTGAAATGAATTGAAATTTGCTGTAAAAATGGTGCAGAATTTAAAGCAGAAAAAATAAATGAAATAAAAATTAATGCAATAAGTTTTTATAAAAAATAAAATTAAAATTAAATCAATAAAAATCAACCTTTCCTTCGTTTTTGTCGTAATCGCATCGTATTTCATCTGTCATATTCTCGTAACCCATTTTTTTAAATTGTTTTAGGAATTCGGCTCTATATGGCGATGAATTATCAGGTATTGTCTTACCACGGATTTCCCACATTCGTTTCAATCTTTCAGGCTGAGCCAGACAATAACGAATAACCTAAAATAGCTCAGACCATTTAAACTGAATGAATAGTTTTCAAAAGAGATAATCAAAAGGGATAATTGGTGTCGAATGATATGTTGCTTTGACCCAAGATTGAGCATCGTACGTGCTAAATCTGCCAATAAAAATGGAATCTTTCTTAAATTTAACAACATTTCCTTTCCAAATGAGCCTAGTAGAGAGAAGCCCAGTGGAACAAGCCAAACCAGAATTTGTAGGAGGAGGATTTTCGATTTGACCAACCTGACAAATCCAGAATAGGTAAAAAATGCTTGGCTTCAAATTCTTTTCAGGTTCTTTGTTTAACAAAGATCATTTTAGCTGGATAATGTTCTGTGGGTGATGCATATTGAGTATTATGGTGAAAGGAAGTGGTTCTTACCAAGATTCGCCTTGAGAGCCAGAGTTAATATTAGAAGTGAACCTGTCAATAAAAGGATACTGATGGTCCACTGTACATCTACCAAATAAAAATACTCTGTGGTAAAAATTATTCCACTAATAGCAAGTAAATAAATAAATAAATTCGTTATTTGTTAGACCCTATGATGGTTGGCGTCAAAAGAGAGGGGGACTAGTCAAGACCTGGACTGATACAGTCAGAAAAGATTTCGAAAGTATAAGGGAACCAGCGATATATGGACTTAGGCGATGGAAAAAGTTCTATTCACACCAGCGATAGCAGCTGGATCAAGCAGCTTGGAGAGTCTTATCCTTATAGCCAGAGAAGCCAGCCTAATCAGTAATAGTGCGATCTATAAGAAGACGAAGAAGAACTAATAGCAAGTGTGATGACCCTAATGGTGAGCACTACTTTTTTTTGCATTGAGTACCAATTATATTATCGTATTTCTCTATGTATATATATATATATATATTTATATACTCGGATAAAATGGCTCTGCATCCTAATAAGAATAAAAAATGCATATCGGAAAAATTCAGCTAGTAGTTCAAAAAATAAAATAAAACAAAAAATAAATTTTAATATACAGAATTTTGAAGAAAACGAACTAAAGATAATGATTCTGAGAAAAGTCATAAAATTTAAATGCCAATTAAGAAGAATGAGTGAAAAGATATGAGATGAATTCGGATCATTCGAGGAGAATTCGGGAAGAAATATTAAGTCACTTGGGATTTAAGCTGTAATGAGTATAACGTTGTGGAAAGAACTATTATCGTCATTGAATTTCAGCAATTTAATTGCTAAAAAATTTATCAGCAATCGCGAGTCCCCAACAATAATTGTTCGTTTTTCATAATATGGAAAATTATGGTATTATTTCTTTTTATTTCTTATTTTTTTTCTCACCTTAAAAGATTTTTTATTGATTGGGCTAAGCCATATTTTAATTATATCAAAACTATATAAAGGACCAAAAATTATTATTTTTGTTTCATTTTAATATTTTTGATTTCTTATCCCCGATAGTTTCTTCCATAATATATTGGATTTCACTTTTAATGAAGATTTATCCTGAGATGACTTAATCGGTGCAACGTGAACTTGACCAGTGCGGCTACCTAAAAAGAAATATTTACTGGAGTTAAATCGTTTGCCAGCATCTCGTTTCTTTCGTTCTAAGGCAATTTGCTGCACTGTATCTTTGCTGTACGTAACCGCTTGATGAAATGCATCCAGCTAAAAAAATACTTTTAAATTTTGTTAATTTTTATCTTTCCTCTTATAAAAATTGTTAATATCTTCGCTTCTCAACAATATTTTAGTACCAATTTATTGACCAACAAAAAGTATTCATACAGTATCACTAATTTCAGGTACTGTTCGTGCAAGATGAAGCTTGAAAGAATTAAGATTGCAAACTGTTACAGCAGGAAATGGAATTGAATCAAACTCGAGCTGCAAGAAAAAAATAAAATGTAGATTTAATTATCAGAGTTTAGAGATTTCGTGAGCTTGAAAGAATAATTTCTGGATAAGAAAAATTAAAGAGGTGAATAGTGTTCCTCTACCTCAAATCAGGTCCTGCATTGATAATAAAAAATTTTAAAAAATAAGAAAAAGTAAAGAAAATTTTTTTTTAGTCAACTTTTTATCTTGATAATTTCGTAGGTATTAATCTCGAAGTTATCTTTTTGCCTGTCTGGACAGAAGTAAACCTGTAATTAAAACCAAATCCGGACGTACCGAACCTATCCATATAGCTATATCCAAGTGACTCTATGGCAAATGAACCAAAGAAACGCAAGCATGCATCCTCATACTTCGACATGGGTATTCTTACATGGGTATAACCCAGTTGTATATGTGATAAATATGGTTTGGACAAAGCAATTTTAAAAAAGGCTTTCTAAGTTCTCGAGTTGAGGAAATTGCTTTATCTCACCTAAGAAAGGCAATTGTTAAGTGGCTATATGCGCATGTGGGGAAAATCTTGGCTGCAGCTGCGTCTGAACCCTTACGAATTTTGGCAGCCACGCGATAATTTCTTACAACCTATCAAAATATCGTGTGGATCTCGCTTATTGTCCTTTCTAATTCTAGGTCCACAATAGTGATTATATCCGGCGAGAATTTGTTATATCGTGATGATATTTCGGACAAATCAAGTAGAAATGGGGTTCCATTGTCACGTCCGAAACTCGGTCAGCTCTGATAGCATAGTAGTAAAGAATTCCTTATAATGAGCGATTGCCCTATGCCCACTTTAAAATCAATATCTTTACAACATCTCTGTCAGCGTTTACGATTATGTTCTTTATATGGATGATCTGGATAAAGATAGATACCGAGCTGAATCTTCTAACAGCAACCATCCCAAAAATGACTGATCAGCATTTTCAGCGTTAATAGACGATAGCCGATTGGTATGTTACTTCGATTAGGATCAAGTATGATCGATTGGTTCATATTATTTATATAGGTTTGAATATGCTACTGAAAGGGAAATCAGGTTGATGTACGACTATCATTGCTTAAATGAATCCGCGCCAAAAAAATCTAATAATTAATGAAATCAGACAAAATAAAATAGGAATTAAGTGCAGTTAGAGGAAAAATATGTTTGGAAAATGGTATTAGTAGAAAGAAAATTTTGAGAGAATAAATGAATCAAAATTTACAAAAATCGCATTGAATAAACGCCACTTATTGCTGTTATCTGCAATTATTTGTTATCATTGTTATCTTGATAAAAATTAACGGCAAGCAATAAGTGATACATTACAATTCGTGAAGATTATTTCCGGAAATTAAAATGTTTTTCAATATTTACTTTTAAGATTTTTTTCTGGCTTTATTATGTATTTCTTTTTTTTCTAACAGCACTTAATATTTCTTATTCAGTTGGCTTTTGGCTATCGGGATAAGATTTTTTTGTCCTTGGGCATAGTAGGCTCCCAGTGCCATCCACACTACGCTTTAAATAGCTCTTATTTATTCTACTCGACCATCATTTCCATCATTTCTTTATAATTTGTCATTTTATGAAATATAAATAGGAGAGATTTTTTTGAAGATAAACCTAAAGGATTTAGTCTAATTTTAGAAAAATTATTTGATAATCGTCAATCAAAATGAATCTGTAAAATAATTATTGCATTGTAAATAAAAAAATTATGAGCACCAAATCATAGCAAAACTTGAAATATTAGAAATAAGGGCTTTAGAATATTCAAAGATCTGATTATTCTCGATCTACCATCACGCTTATTTTTCGCAGATTGAATAACTAAACAATTGGCCTAATTAGAATCTTCTTAATCAGTGAAACTTGTGGTACTACGCCCTAATCTGGCATAGTTACTGCCCATGAATTTGCATAATTAAAATGGTGCGGCATAGGATTTACATTATTGTACATTTCCTTAACATATAATATTATAACATAAAATAATAACATATAATATGAATAAATTTTCTGAATTTTTTGCTTTTGCTTTTGCATATATTTCATAGAATTTTTTCACAATTTTCACAATTTTTTCAAGTAAGAATGGCTAAAATTTTTTACTAAAACATTATAAAAAAATCCAGTCCATAAGCCAAAGAATTTTTTCACGTGCATACCGTAGAAGAGAAAATCTGGATTTTTTGAAAATATAATTGTCAAAGGCAATCATACGAAATATATTAGAGCTTTCCTTGCTTTTACTTTGGCCAATTCCATTCATAATGTTTTGCAAAAAAACAAAAATAATAAAAAAAGAAATAAAGGATAGGTGTGAAGAACAATAAAACAATTTCTGATTCCTTTAATTATTCAAATAGACCATTCTTAAAAAAAAAACGAATTCTTTCGATTAATGTCAAGCATAGGTTCATATTCTCATATTCTTGAAGAGAATTATCATGAAAAGTGAAATCTACAGATTTTTGTGGTACTCTAAACCTATCTATATCTCTATTGCTAATAATCGCTAGCTAAGAGGAATCAATCTAATAGACAGTGGAACTATGCAAATCGGAAATAGTGATTGTGGAAGAAAAATTAGTGGCGTTGACGAAATCCCCATATTATTTACTGCCAAAGACAAAAAGAAAATTTATTAATATTAATATTTATTAACAATTTGTCATAAAATTGACAACTCGCAGAAAACAGCAAGATCCTTCAACTACCTCAAACTAAAAAATTCGAGGGCAGTGAGCTCAATTCAAACTGAATTATTGACACATCTCAGTGATACAAATATCAATGACTTTTCTGGGACAGCAAATGAATATTGGTCCAAAAAAAAAGAATGTCTCCGAAAGTCAGCCACTTCCACTCTAGGGAATATTAGTAAGAGGTATGCTAGTTGGGTATCGGAAGCAACTATCAAACTGTCTGAAAAAGCTGCACGAAGCACGAATGTCAGGTGATCCTGATTACCAGATGCTTCGAAGATTTGCAACGAAAGCAGCACGGCGGGACAGAAATAATTATTGACCAATTATAATAATAACATGACCTCAAGAATGGAGGTGGCGACTCGATTAGGCGATAATAGGAAACTATTCCATCTTCTTCAAAAAATAACTATAATTCGGGGAATAATCAGTAAAATGGTAAGGCACAGCAATGGAGTGCCAGTTAAGAGTATTAAGGACCGCCTCATAAGATGGAAAGAATGGTTTGAGGCCAAACTTAACCATGAAATGCCATCTGTTCCCCCTGATATAACTAATACGTTCGCTGAACTACATGTTTGCAACTGCCCCAGACAGAAGAAAAAATAATATCCGTAATAATAATAATAATATAAATAAATAAGTTATCCGTAAGTTTAAGGCCAATAAGATTCTGGGAGAAGATGGTCTTCGGGCTGAACTATTTAAATGTTGTCCATCGTAACACACCTTCATAACATACCTTCAACAAATGTACTCTCTGGTATGGGAAAAAGAAATATTACCAGATGATTGGAGCAAAGCAATTCTGCTCCCAATTTTTAAGAAAGGTGATAGGACACACTGCGACAATTGTCGACGAATCAGCCTGCTAGATGTCTCAGCGAAAATTTTTGCTTCTCTTTTACTCAACAGACTTATGGAAGTACGAGATAACAGGATGCGCCCTAATTAAGCTGGATTCAGACCGGAGCGCGGTTGTATTGACCAGATATTCACGTTAAGAAGGGTGTTGGAACATCGCTTCAAATCCCACTGTCACGTGTTTCATCGACTTTGCGGCTGCCTTTGATTCAATTGATAGAGCGGCGCTTTGGAAGGTGATGGAACGTGATGGTGTTCCAGAGAAAATCATTAGACTCATAAAGGCATTTTATGAGCTCACGTCGGCGCAGGTCTGTGTATATGGGGAGCTGACAGATTCCTTCGAAATAAGAACAGGTGTCCGTCAGGGCTGCGTCCTTTCCCCCACAATATTCGACTATGCGATAGACTGGATAATGGACACCGCTTGTCGGCACTCAAGAGGTATCCGAATTAATCCAGAGCATTGTATCATAGATCTTGAATACGCTGATGATGAAGTCCTTTTTGCTGACAATTATAACGAAATGCAAATAATACTAAATAACGAGTCAGAAACTGCAACAAGAATCGGACTCAGGATCAATGTAAATAAAACGAAAGTCTTTTCTTCTTATGTGCAAGAAGCTGATAAAATGCCTCTTTTTGTAAATTCATTGCCGGTCGACGAAATGCCCAATTTTAAATACCTTAGGTCCACTCTTATACCAAATGGCCAGACAAAAGACGATATTACAAGTCGGATCACGGTAGCTAGAAATGGCTTCTTCCGGTTACCTTTATGAAACCTTTATGGAGTCGTCGTGAAATCACCATTAAAACGAAAGTCTGCATTTATATAACCGTAATTCGTTCGATCTTGCTATATGGCTCTGACACATGGCCAATGAGAGTGGAGGATATTAAGAAGCTATCTACCTTTGAGCACTCTTGTCTAAGGTACATTTTACGGATCCGTCGAGCGGATAAGATATGATCGCATCTACATTCGTTCAAATAGCACTTGCATTAATAATGTTATCACAGAGCGTCGCCTTAGCTGGTTAGGGCACGTTCTTCGTCGTCTACCACAAGAGTTGTCGCATATTTCGTTATTTGCTAAAGCGTGCGATGGTTGGTGTCAAAAGCGAGGTGGACCAATCAAGACCTGGACTGATACGGTCAGAAAAGATTGAACGTATAGGTAAATCAGCAATATATGGACTTAGACGATGGAAAAAAGAATGGCTTCCATTACTATCGACGATAGCATTAGATATCGCACCGCTTGAATGCGTCATACCCTTATAGCCGTTGGAGCCAGCTTAACCATAATGGTGAGAGCTGTTAGAAGAAGAAGATTAATTTGTTATTAATATTAATATTAAGTGGCAAATTTAATTCAGATTTTTTAAAATTGGATTGAGCCCCTCAAGGATTTCGATTTTTTTCGATTCTTTATAAATTCTTTTACACTATAAATATCCATCCTATTCTTCTTCGTTCCAACTATTACCTTCTTTGCAAGCAATAAATTTATTAGAATCGCATAAAAATAATTGTCTCCATAATTTCCTAAAGACCAATATTTGAATTTCACGGTTATTGAAACTGACCAAGAGCATGAAGATGACAAAACAATTTCACAAGTAGAACTGTTGCATGATCCATATGTGTTGCTATTTTGCCAGTTAAAAACGGTAAAGAATCAAAATCAACAAAAACAAAGCATAAAAGCTAGTTTAGAAAAAATATATCGTCGTATGAATAAATCTCTTCATTTGAAATTCTATTCTTAAAATTCTT